CCACTTGTTGAAGTTTATTCAACCAACAAATTTGTCGCATAGTTCTACCTGTAACTACGAAGCAGACTACGCAAGGATTCAGAAAACGCCATCAAACCTTCCACTAGTCCGCAGTCGTCAAATTCAAACGTGAGCACTCTTTGCCCGTCGCAGTACAGTCACGTAGGTCTCTGCTTCAATTTAGGGTGACTCACAGACTTAATGGCTTTACCATTATCTGTCTCATCCCAAAAAACTGATAATCGCAAGCAAGTGACAGGCAAGTTCATCAAACAGTGCAGTAAATGCAGCACAAATCCGAATCAAGCTGATGCACATCCAGACACAAAAGTGCTGTCTGCCACCGGACTGTTCCAACTGTTGCTGGCCAGGCAACTTAGAGAGATGGGACAAGGACACCGGTCACTGACAATTTTCACAACTATGGCTATGGCTCATGTGACTGGAATGAGCGATGAAAATCCGCGATGGTAAGACAGGTTTCCGACTTCGGTTGATTTCGCCATCTGGATTTACTGAATCCCCTGAGACAGCATCTGCTTCCGGCCGTTTCCACGCTTCTTTTTCTTTGGATGACTCAATACACACAGTGGTGGTTGATCTAATTAGCAGAGCGACTGTTTGTTGAAACGTGATGTTAATGGTAAGCATGTTCAGCAACCGGAGTCAGCCAGACAGAAGAGAAAGATTGACATCTGGTCAAACTAGCCAACGAAAGATCTTCGGGAATAGGTTATCGATTGTCGTCTATTACTGTAGAGAAATGAATCCAACTGACATTGCGATACAGATTTAAATTCGGAATCTTACGCACTACTTTGAGGATTAATAAATTTCAAAGTACGGTGTTAAAGTAAGTAATCCTGACTGCTAAGAAACAGCGGTTAAAGCAAAACACTGGATTGAGTAACATGATGTATATTTGGGAAGCCTCTGAAATCTTAACACTATCCTGATAAAAGCGACTATACTCAGGGGGAAACAGCTTGCGCAATTCAGGTTGTCATCAAATAGGTTGAGCTTCTCAAAAATGGAAGCATAGTGTTGGTTTCCAGGACACTCAATCAAACGAGGGCATTCGTTTTTCATGCGCTAATCAATTTGGAACATTCCCTTGGTTAAGACTATCTGTCTTTTGTACTTCCAACTACGAGTTCGTAGAGAGGTTGGTGCCATTAGTAATTGGGATCTGATGTTGATTCACCGGGTATGCCAATCGGTGAACTTTTGATCCGAGTGTAACAGCCTGAGACTTTTGACTAAAGAGTGGCGTGGCCTCCATGACCATCCGACGAGAACGATGACAACGGTTGAGGTCCTCTATACCCGACAACCTGCTTCACAAGGAAACTATTTGGGTACAATAATTTGACCATTCA